ATCTTTTGAATGATTAATTTGAGAACCCTTATTGTTCTCCAATTTATTTCCACTATAATGACGATAATTGTTTCGCCCCCTGTCACGTCCACGTTTACGACCATGTCCACGACCACGGTAATTATTTTGTTTTCTTTCAAACTTATCATATGCTACTAAAACATTCACTTCCGGAAATGGAGCTGACCCAGTGGGACAGGTTTCATGATTTTTTATTAATAGAGTATTATTCTACTCTGCCACAAGTAGGCATGTGATTAACTCAGAATATTTCTTAAAACCTTTTTTACGGTATTGTTGATATAGCACCACATTTGAAGCGTGAAAAGTAGAAAATATTTTTTCCAATAAGTCCTCATCTGTGATAGTGTCTCCACATAATTTTAATAGAGAACTTACTTTAAAGATAGCAGAATTATACTCACTTACGGTTTTAAAGTCTTGCAACCTTAAATGTATCCACTCATACCGAGCTTTCGGTAATACCGTAAGTTTTAGGTGGTCATATCGATCCTTCAAATTAATCCATAATTCAAGTGGATCTTTTACGGTTAAATATTCAGTTTTTAACCCTTCATGTAGATGATGACGAAGGAAAATCATGGCCTTCGCTTTATCCTGATTTGATGCTTCATTTCCTTGTATAATAGTATTTCCAAGACCTTTAGCGTCAAGGTGAATTTCAGCATCAAGAACCCATGATAAATAGTTCCTCCCGGTGATGTCAAGTGCCACAAATTCAAGTTTTGATAAATTTGACATAGTGAAAACTATCATAAAAGATGAATAAGTTAGAGAAATAATTATAATAATAAACAATTAATGAAAACAACACGAGTAAGGTAAAAGGAATGAAAATAGAGTTATATTATGTTAACAATCTACTATTTCATTTTATTCTTGCCATAAAGTAGAAATTACATATCGTTTCATTTCACTTTATATTATTGATATATATGTGTTAATAGAATTGAACGTGACTAACATTATTTATATGTTCCAATAAATATAAAGTAATTAAACTATAAAATTATTGCTTGTCAATTCATTTCTCACAGTTCTTCAAAATGCCTCAAAGATATGTTTTGATCCAGGGAGTCCATGAATATTATAAGTATGACATTAGTGCATAGCTAGTTTGATGACTTTGAGGTCCTCTAAGAGTTGAGCACGGAAGAAAATAGTTATTTAATAAATGCAATGCACTTAAACTATTTAAGATGCCCAAGCGCACAAGTAATCTGCAAACAATGAGCATATGATATGTACTGCCATAAATAAAATGATTATAATGATACATACCTTAATAAAATGGCTCAACTTAGCAGGAGTTAAGAATAAAATTAGAGTTTCATGCTGATAACATGTTATAAAATAAAAGCAATGCAGTAAAATGTAAATAAAAAGAGATAGAAAGAAGGGAGAAGTGTTTTCTTCTTTTACTTTGGTGTATCTTTCCATTGCAATTATATGGCCTTTTATAGGCATAAAAAGTAAAGATGATGGACATAAAGTAGGAGATTTAATCTTTAAGTTATTCACAACATGAACATCCAATGTATCATCTAATGTAATATCCAATGTACAAACTATTTATATCAAAATTAAATTTATTAAAGGAACAACACAAATATATATGTATATATATTTCAATCAAACTATTGTTGTCTATTCATTTGCCAACTAGATAAAACGACTTAAAATACTCTTTTATTATGGCATGACAATAAGAGATTTAAGTGTTCCGTTTTTGTAGCAATGAGATGTTTTATTGGTCTGTTAAATTAAGATGAACTTACACTCTGTTTGGATTATTGTTCCCCATCGTTTTATAATACATTGTATTGTATTGTATCGTATCTGTTTGACTCAAAAGATAACGAAGTCTTTTTGAATAAATCAATCAAAGAAAATGAAGGGGTAAATCTTAGCTAAGTATAATAATCTCTAGAACGAAAGATGGATAAGGAGAATACGGATAGTAAGATTTCTTTATCTATCCAGATCAACCAATCTTTTACAATAAATCTTCTCACTCGTTTATGTAAGCAAATTTACAATAAGTATTATGGATCGGCCAAGCAGTGCTCCTTTACAAGGTTGTTGTTATATATATATAAGGAGTGAAACCCTTTTAAGCTATAAAAGACAAATGATAAGGAATATTCAAAGGAATATTCCAAGTATCCCCTAATGGGCCGGTATTACAAGGGTCGTACAATCTTTTGTTTGTCTTAAGGTCGTCCTCCGCAGGTCGTCAGGTTACGAGGGCCTCGCCGTTCGTCGTACTCGTCGACGGTCATGGTTGTTCAAATTTGGACCCATACAGTATCGTTTTATGAATAAATGTTTGGATATATTGTATTGTTTGTTATTGTTAAATAATATTTTGCTGTTTGGTTTGATTGTGTCATATTGTACTGCAACTGATAAGTTTACTAAAATATCCTTAATTTGTTTAAATATTAAATTTATCAAAAATTATGCATAAAAATAATTCTATGAAACAAAACAGAAGAAGACAAAATACCTTAAGAAAGTAGAACAAAGGAACGAGACAGAAGAAGGCAAACCAAAGGAGCACAACTAAGTAGAATTGAGTTAAAAGCAAATTGAGAGAAAAAATAAAACAGAAGGCGGCAAAACACCTTTAAACTTGGAGGCAGAAATTTTGGAAAATAATAAAATAGGTCATAGATTGGAGATTTGCAGTTAAAATAGCAAAAAAAAGCTAAAGTGTAAAATATAAGAGTGGAGTAATAAGTTAGGGCATAATTGGAAAGAAAAATAGGAAACAATCCCACCACACCAAATCGATTGTTTCAAAAAAAGGGAATTTTCTTTGTTCCGGAACAATGGATTTAACAATACAATACAATCAATTTTAATAAAACAATCAAAACAAACATTATTTTGGAATAACAATACGATACAATGGGGAACAACCATCCAAACAAGCTGTTAAGTAAAGTAACCAAAAGATAAACTAACGAATAATTTGATTCACATACTAATTTTATGAATATTACAATTCAATAATATTCATATGATAATTAATAATAAATCCATTATTATGTAGTGATTAATAGTCAATGTATTATTAACTAATATCATTATTATATAGAGTATAAGAAGATGCAAAAACTAGAAATTGCAGAGGAGAGGAACCTCACCCCACTAGAAATAGCTACTGATTCCATGGGGGTTATTAGAATGCTAAACTTTGGTAATGGTGCTTATGATCCTATTCTTTTCGAGTGCATGTTGCTTATTCAAAAGCTGAACAGGATAAGGGTCAAGCACAACTATAGGGAATATAATGGAGTAACTTATCTTTTGGCAAAAGAAAGAGCCAACAAGGAATTTTTTTTGGTAGCTTAACTATGCTAATAGTTCCTCCGATATTTACAAATTAATTTTTTTAGGCAGATATCTTATAAACTATTTTTCCAAGACAAGTACCGGACTGCAATAGTAATAGTTCATACATTGGCTCAGTATCCTACTTTGCCTGGGAAACAAGCCTGCCCCTCTATGTATCAACCCAAACACTTAACTAGTTATATATAAAAATCATCCATTAAACCAAAACAAAAAAAAAGTATAAGAAGATGCAAAGACCAAATATATATAAATTATGCTGAATTTAAGAGATTAATTCTCCTCATTCAAGCAACCTTAGGGATGGCAATAGGATTGTGTGGGTGCGGGGCAGGTTGCGAGTAAGAGTTTTTTTTTCAAACAAAAACTTAAATATTTAAAATGCTAAGGCCCTTCTTCTAAGCTAAAATTGAACCCCTGTGCAGCTGTGATAAGAAAAACATAAAACTTGAATTCATTGTCCACAACACAATTATAAATGAAGTAAGTATTGAAGAAACTTATAATAGGTGAGAACCCATGATTTATTGGTCTAATAAGATTAAAAAAAAATTATTTGTTCTAAAAAAACACACGTTTATAACTATATTTTTTTTTTAAAATTTTAAACGTCCGATTTACTCTTAATAACATGCTAATAATAGAAATGCAATAAAATTTTAAAATCATAAGTTCAAAAATTACATTCTGATACTAGTTATCAAAAGTTTTTTTCTTCTTTCTTATCATATCCTAACCATGCATCGCCATATAAAATATAAAGTAGAAAATAATAGTCTAAGAGGGATAGTAACTTTGATGTGCAAGTTCAGATTTTACTATGCTAATCATATCATTTCTTCTTGTGAGCGTGATGTAGCCAACTAAGCATTGAAGAAAAGATTTTCTTTGTTACTTGAAGTAGGATACCTTTAAGCTTAAATAAAGAAGGAAAATTGGATGTACTTGTAGCTAGTTCTCCTATTTAAATTAATACTAAATAGCAGAAAAGAGAAAAAATGTACTATCAAATTCTCCCGAAAAAGAAACAAAAATTTGAAGAGTTAATGCAGGGCGGGTTGAAAATAGAAAATTATACTTTATGGGGTTGAAGTCTTTGCGGATTTACGCGAGTGTACCCGCAACCGTACCGCCTGTTCCGTTTGTCATCCCTAAACAACCTATACAAAATATTGTTATAGATTGTAATCTTTGTTAGAAGCAAACAAGATCACTATCAAATATATTTGGAGGGAGACATATGCATACTCTGTGAAGAGTGAAGGACACAAGCATAAATAAGATGGATAGTTCTTTTGTGTGACTTTATGAAAGAATTTAAGAATTTTATTTAGTTAATTTACTTATGTACCAACTGGAGTTACTAATGAATTGTCTTTTTTTGTTTTTTATTTTTGTTTTTCTAAGCCGAGAGTCTATCAGAAATATTCTCTGTTCTATGGGGTAAGGGTAAGGTCAGCGTACACATTACTCTTCCCGAACTCCACTTTGTAGGATTTTACTGGGTTAGTTGTTATTGTTATCATTGTTTCTTATGTACCAACTAAAAACAAATTAATCCCCAATTCAAACAGCCGAGTCAAAATTCAACTTAAAGGGACGCCTTTAAAAGTCAGAAGGATCGAACCGGTTCATTTGAATTTCACTCCCACTTTGAAGTCTTCACGTCCCTCCATTATCTCTCCAAATTCCCTCTCTCAATTTCTAGGGTTTTCTTGAGAATTTTTTGCAACAATGTCAGCTTCCACAGTATCCATCACAGCCAATCCAGCCTCGGGTTCAGCCCGTCGCCGAGCCGTCGAGAAGAAACAGCCCTCCGATTTAGCCGATTCCAACTTAGCGACCGCCGCTGCTGCCGCCGCGGCCGATCCAATTTCAACCCCCAACATTTCCTTCAGAAGCGACGGCCGAGATGCGATTCAAGTGGTGAAAAAACCATTGCCCAATACAAATGCTCCCACATCCTCTACTCGCCGTGCTAGCGGCTCAGCAGCAGCAGCAAAGAAACCCTCGAAACCGCCTAAGCCTAGGTGGTTGACTGTGGTTAGTGTATTCACTAAGAATTTGTTGCTGCTGCTTGTTTTAGTTGGTTTAATTCAGATGGTCCGTAGACTTGTTATGAATTCGAATAATGTTAACGACTCTGATGGTCTCGCTGTAATTTCTGGGGATTTTGAGGGAAAATTCGCTGAAATGGAGTCGTTTGTTAAGAAAACTACGAAAATGATGCAAGTGCAAATCGAAGTAATTGATCGAAAACTCGATTCAGGAATTAGGAGTGTGAGGGATGAGTTGAGTGTGAAGGTGGCTGAGAAAGGGGAGGAATTGGAGTTGAAGTTGAAGGAAGTGAGTGGCAGAACTGAAAATTTGGAGAAGTTGATGAGTGAATTTAGAGAGAAAGACTGGGTGTCCAAGGACGAGCTGGATAATTTATTTGAGGAGTATAGGAAGACTAAAGGTGACACGGAATTTGATGATAAGAGTTTGGATGAATTTCGGGCATATGCGAGAGAGGTAGTGGAAAAAGAGATAGAGAAACATGCTGCTGATGGATTAGGGAGGGTGGATTATGCATTGGCTTCGGGTGGTGGTCACGTAGTGAAGCATTCAGAGCCATTTATTACTAAGTCTGGTGGTGGTGATGTCTGGAGTTTGTTAAACCGGAATGCAGTTAGTAATGATGCTCAGAGGATTCTTACACCCAGCTTTGGAGAACCTGGTCAGTGTTTTCCCCTTAAAGGGGATAGGGGGTTTGTCCAGATCCGGCTCCGGACATCCATTATACCCGAAGCTGTCACCCTGGAACATGTTGCAAAGGTAACACTTTTTTCCATTGGATAGTAGTGATGATTCTATTGTATCATTTTTTTCTTTCTGCTTATGGTACTGCCGACTGTTTAGTATGATGCGTTTATCTGAGCTTCACGAGTATATGTGACTTTTTATGTGATTAGTAACTCAAAATGCATGAATTTAGGAAGCTTCTGACATCTTAGTCATTATGAGCACAATTGAATTTGAGCCTGACTTTCAGATTTCAATTGAAATTGATCGGTCTGAGCCTAGGTTGGGTCAGCATGAATTGAGCCTTTTTGTGCCTAGACAACATATTTGAATATGGTTATGGAAATTGAGAATATCAAAAGAAGCACAAGTAGATTTCATATAAATGTGTACAATTAAAAGTAAGTTTAACAGTTATAATCAGAATGAAAGTGTATCCCATCTAGTGTTGCTTACTAATTTGCATGCTTCATAAGTTCGCCTCAAGCCTCCAATTGACGTGCAACTTAAGGGTAAGGACTCGAAATTAGAAAGTGCATGCTCAGGCAAGGCCTTATTGAGTCTTCTCTTTCGTAGTGAGTTTTTTTTTTGAGGGGGTGAGAATCTTTAACCTAGAAGCGGCAAGCCCGTCCTACCTCATAACTGTTGTTTGCTTATGTTTGTGATAGGTACATACGTGCAGTTATGTGTTTATATATGTAAGTTTATGTCTGGTTGTGTTATTTTGAAATGCCTGCGCTAATCTTAACCAAAGGTCTTAGGAAAATGATTTATCAGCAAAAGTGTGGCATGAAGTAACATGCGTGTTCACCTTGCTGAGCAGCTGTAGACCTTAAATCACTTTTTTTGAGATATTTCAGTGAACGGTCCTAATGGCTAATGTAGGATGAAACTGTGTGAACAAACTATCACATTTGGGAAGTGAATTTTCATGAGACATGGTATGAAAACATTGAACAAGTTTTGTGTCCATTGGACTGAAGCATATATTTGTAAGCATTCTGCATGCTCCCAACCCCCCAACCCCAACCCCTGAGCCTCACAGACTATGATTTTTCACACTCTTAAATTGAAAAATTCATGGCGACAAGTTTAATGGCCTATTATCCACCGAGTTTCAAACCATGGACCGCAAGGTCTTGGAGATTTCTTTGTTATCAAAAAGAAAGTTTCACCATGTTTGCTATGTATTATTACTTCTCCTCTTTCCCACATTTTAGCTTTGATTATTTATGATCACCATGAAGTTTAGATTTTTCTGCCCACTGTGTCTATCCTGCTGTGATTAGCACTCTATTGATGCTAGTGAGTTTGCAGCGCTCACTTAATGATGCAGTATTGCAGTGTACTTGATGAACAATTTATATCATTAACTTGCTATATGTTGAATGATTTCTTGTGCTCCGACACCTAAGGATGTGGCCTTAACTCAATAAGGGACAAACACTAGGTGATTTCTTCCTATCTACCTAAGCCTAGGTGGGCAGAGTTACTCGGTACTTGTGTTGGCGGGAGGTAACAGGTAACCGGTGGAGCTTCTGCATACACCACACCTTATCACAAAAAAGATTTCTGGTTCTCTGCTGTTATGCTTCTTAGGTATCCAAGGTACTAACAACTCCTGGATATTTTTGAACAGAGTGTTGCTTACGATAGGTCCAGTGCTCCGAAGAACTGCAGGATATCCGGATGGCTTCATGATAAAAAAGAGACTGATCTAGCAGCTGATAGCGAGAAGATGTTCCTTTTGACGGAGTTCATATATGATCTTGACAAGAGCAATGCTCAGACTTTCAATGTTTTAGAATCTGCAGGCTCTAGTGCCATTGACACAATCCGGTTTGATTTTACATCCAACCATGGGATGCCGCACACATGCATTTATAGGTTGAGGGTACATGGCCGTGAACCAAACTCTTTGGTAATGCAGTCTTGATGGTAAAATAATTTAAATTATTTTGACATTCCTCTCCTTAACAATGTAGTGCTTTTGTGTCTCTGGTAGAACTCAATCCGACGTGTGAGTTGTAATCTTTTGGCTAAGTATGGATTTTAAGATCCTTCTCCTGTCATTGACCAGTACTGAGTTGGGGCTAGGTGTAAAAATGTCTTGTTCCTTTCAGCTACCGAACTGTAAAATTGAATGATTTGATTCCCTTGTATCTTTTTTTCTTTTTTCTTTTTTCTTTTTTGGGGAAATGAGATTCCCTTGTTATGGTGATGTAAAGATTATGACAATCGTGTAAACCCCATCATTTTTGTACTTGTTTTCTCGACAATCTTGCTTTTAGAGATGCGAAGGTATGTTTCCTAAATCATTACAACATTTTCTACTGTAAAACATGGCATTAGAGTCATTCTAGTGGCATAAGAGTCATTCATTATGGGGCGAGGGCTAAGAGCATCTCCAATGCTCCCTCATTTCTCCAAAATGCAGTCATTTTTTGCCAAAATGTGGCTGCAAAATGAGGATGAATAGTGTTACTCCAAATTCATCTCTTCCATTACTATTCATCCTTATTTTATTATTATTTTTATTATTTAACTCTTTTAATCTCTTTATTTATACCTAATTATGTTTATGAAATATTTTTATCATATTAATTTTACGTCTTAATTTTGGTGTATAATTTTGATAAATTAATTTTCGTGCATTTATTAAGTTTATGTAAAATTGTAAGTTAATTTTATTATAAGTTATAATTGTACAAAAAATATATAATCATCTCAAAAAATGAATGCAAATAAAAATATTAGATGTTGCTAAAATTAAAAAGTGAAAATTGAAAATACATTAAAGGAAAATCGAGAATGAGCGTGATCTTAATGCACCAATTCAAGATGATTGGGAATGTCTACTTCCAACGGTAGGAATAGTAGTAGATGAAAATCAGCGATTTGAACAATTTTTGGCTCAACACAAAAGAATTAAGGATAAAGATGCTCATTTTGTACTTCGTAATGCATTAATGAATAATTTAAAGGAACATACTAGAGGTGGAAGTTGAATATTTATATAATATTTAATCTAAATTTTACCATAATGTAATGTGTATTTAATTATCTTATATCTCAATGACTTCATTTTTATTTGAATTATCCGTTAATATATATAATCTATAATATTTGCTTACAAATTATATTATTTAAAATTTATCGTACAAAATAATTTTATATTAAATTTATGTGATGAATATTTAAAAAAGAGAAAAGATAGAATTTCTTTAATAGAAATAAAAAAACAAAATTTAAATAAAAGATAATAATATACTATAATATTCAAAAGAGAGAAGAATATAAAATGGAATATTATTTTTTGGAGTAAGAAATAGAGTAACTTTACTCCATTTTGGAGGAGAAAATTGTTTGACCAAAAAGTGTTGAGCTTTTTGTTAAACTAATTAATGATAAAGGAGAGGATGAATCTTAGTTAAGTATAATAAATTCTAGATATAATGTTGAAGGATATCAACAGTATGGGTAATGTCTAAGGGTGGTGAATATCAGATATGAGCTCAATGATTACCAATGAATGCCACAATAATAAGAACATGCAATAAATGTAGACAATAACAATAAATGTAATAAGAGGGAACTTATCACCCTAAATATTAAGTGACTTGGATGATTCTTTCACCTGACAACAACGTGGAAGGATGGGAAGTGAAGATGGATAAGAAATCCTCGAATCTAACAAATAGAGAGTGAATAATATATGTTGAGTCAAGTAGTCAGAGAACAAGACAATAGTTGTATATTCCTCTTTGTCAACTCTTTACAAAAATGTTCTTATCATGAAAAGTAAAGACCCCTTTTTGTTTTTTATCTCTTCCTATTTATAAGAGATATTTTCAAGAAACCCTAAAAAGTACAATGTAGGGAATATTCCCTTGGATATTTTGGTGCCAACCAGCCTTATAAATAGATGGAGGGGGGCTTCATTTTTGAAAATTTTCACCATTTCTCATTTCGCAGGTGCATTGCTTCCCTTTGATCTTCTTCTCCGATCTCCGCTTTCAATTTCTTGCAGCTTCCTCCATTTTAATGCCTCACTTCTTACCCAGTTAGTATTTTCTTCAGATTTTATTGCAAACGTTTTGCTACGGAAATATGTCCAACTCCGCTCATATTCATGACGAAGTTTCCGATGCCACTCCATTATCGGTGGGCCTTCCTCCCGGCGGTAAGGAGTTCATGGATGAAGAGGAAGAAAGCTTCCCCACCGTGGAGGAGATAGTTCCCAAGAACCCTTTGGTTAGAAACGATTTCCCAAAGGAACCCGCTCCTGCTCAGAAGCTTTTTGAGACGACACCGCCTCACGTAGCCGACCTCCGGTCTAAATATAGCATCCTTCCTCATGTCGAAATTGTTCCAGTTGGAAGCGACATCGTAGAGGTTCATCGACCCGGATATTGTGCCTTCTATGTCTATCCGTTCTTAATTGGCTATTCTCTTCCTCTCCTCCCGCTAGCGGAGGAGTTTTGACGATTTTACAATGTCTGCCTGGCGCAACTTTCCCCTTATCTATATAAGGTTTTCCTGATGCTGGCGAAGTATGCAGAGTTGGCCGGCTATGAGGTCAACCTTCGCTACCTGCTGCATCTATTTTCACTTAGCTTTTATAGAGGCACTCTGATATACTGCGACATCATGGGACCAAATGATTGGTGGCCAGGATGGATGATAAGACGAATAGGTGGTTTTGGCATAAGTACTTCTTCATCAAGACCGAGCACCTGGTGGCGGACCCGACTGGGTTTCCCGAGCAATGGAACTATAATCGTAAGTACCGTACCGTACGCCCATTATTTGCTTTCATTCTTTCATTTTCGGCTCACTCGCGTCGTCTTCATTTTTTAGCTGAGAGACGTACACCTTCTCCCGTCTTTGTTATTGAAGATTGGGTGGCTCGCGTGTTACCCCACACCATGGGAATTCGTGATTGGGCATCCTTCCACAAGCATTTTGGACCCAAAATCCCGTCCAGTAAGTGTCATTGCTACTTCAGTTTATTGCTATTTACTATCACTATTTGACATGACCTCCCTTTAGTGTTATGTCGGTGAGTTTCCAAGAAGAAGGCTCCGGTGCCCGCATTCCGCCAAGCTATCGCGTCGGTTGGGATGCAATTTGCCTTGGATGAGTCCGCTCGAGGGAGTCGTACTCAAGTTCCGCCGATGAGGGATTCCGCCCCTCAAACTGTTGTTGTTTAGGATAAGATCTCTTCCCAGCCCATCTATCACCTTGTGGACAAGCCATCTAACGGTGAGGAGTCACCATCGAGGAAAAGGCGAGGAGTGGAAACCGGGAAGGACGTTGTTGTTGACGTCGAGCCGGAAAAATTCATCGCTTTGAAGGCAAAATCTGTGTTTATACCAAACGTAGAGACCATTTCCATGGCAGGTGCCATTATGGAGAGGAGACCTTCTAGGGTTGAGGTTCGTGGTAGCGGAGAGCTTTCACAGGCTGCGGGAGGTGGTGCATCATCAGCGGCCGAGGGGGATAGAGCGGTCCACGCGAGAGACGATGACTCAGGCTCGGATATCGACCCCGGGGAGGTACGGGCCTTCCTAGAGAGGGACACCCGTGTGGAGATAAGGACGGAGGGTCCTAACCGGCACATAGTCATTTCTGTGGACTATGACCTTTTGGCCAACTCAGAACGGGCCGTGCCTACCTTTGCTCCCCTGTGCGCGGCTTCTGAGAACACGGCGCTGCAGGCGATGAACCATGCGGATATGTCATTGGGCATATCCGGCATGGCTCTGCGAGTAAGTGCTTTACATTTTCTATGTCAGGATTTGTTTTGTATGCGTAATTTGCCCATGCTGAGTCCTCTCTATTTGGTTGTCAGACTCTTATCATGGGGATTGAGCGTGACCAGCGGGAGGAGCGGAGGACGACCATTTTCAAGAAGATGACCTCCAAGTATAAGGAGTACCGTACTAAGCACCGAACGTTGGTCGACTTCCCTAGCCAAGATGGCGAATTTCAGTCGCTTCGTGACAGGCTTAAACAGAAAGATGATGAGCTAACGAAGAAAAATGAAGAGGTAAGAGAGAGGGATGATGAACTTATGCGGGCCATCGGTAGGTGCAACGAGCTTGAAGAAGCACTAAAGGCCAAAGAGGACGAGCTCGAGGTGAGCAAGGGGGTGATGGCTGAGAACGTTGACCTTCAAACGTAGTTGCCATCCTTTACGACTGAACTCGAGCAGAGGGAGGCCAAGGCCGTCGATCTACGGGGTGAGCTGAGTGCCAAGGTTGAGAAATTGGGTCCTGTCAAGAAAGGTAGAATGGATGCTATGGCTGAGGTAGTGGCCCTTGAAGATTCCTTCCGTGTTTGCAGGTCCGAGCGGGCTAATGAGGTGGAGGCATCGGCGCTTAAGGTGGCGAGATTAGAGGAATGGATCTAGGGTTTGGAGGCAGAGTTGTCTGGGTTGAACGAGCAGGTTGTTGCCTTGAGGGCCGAGGAGGCGCAAAGGCAGTCACATCCGTCCACATCTTATACTTCTACCAATCCCGGTGTACCTCAGGAGGTGTATGATATGTGGGTTCATGCAGAGGCTCAACTTGACGTATACAAATCTTTGAAGGCTGCCGGGAAGGTTTCCGAAGCGGAGCTTGAGGGCGTCCGTGTCAAGGCACGTGCAGCCCATGAAGCTTGTGGTTACGACCCTGGTATGCCTAGCGGAGATGAGGATGATGACACCACGGATAGACTCACCTCTAATCCTTGGTACGATGATGAGTACGCCGATGGGGATGATGTGGCGTGAAACTGTTGTACTTAGTTTTTGTTTTGCTTTTCTATTTTTGTGAGGGCATTCTCGAACCCCTTTGTAAAATGTTGTAATTTGAACAGTTGAAATGGAATGATTGCCTTTTTTCTATGTATTTCCGGATTCTCGTTATCTTTTTGTTTGCTATGCGGTGAAGTCCCTGACTTTTTCGGCCACTTGTATATAGTGTTTTGGCTTAAATGATCTTAGATCGTAAAGTGTAGAACGACTTGGTGGAGTTGTGCAAAGATGCTGCTTTATTTTCATTCATTGGAGAATATTACATGTTTCTGTTTGTTCCATACAGATATTGGAGAAGTTCTAATGTACCTAGTCCCTTCATCGTTCGACCTGGAGAAGAAGTCGGCAGGCGGAGCGGTGTATCATACTTTAATTTCAAGATGCCCCCTTCGTCTCCTCGTTAAAAACCTTCTCGAGAAAACCCAATTGGACAAAACCCGGGAGACGAAAAAGAGTACGACTCTGAGGGCGTGCGTTTTCAGAAGTTGAA